TCAGGGCTTCCGAACATCCAGTTGTCTGCAGCATCTGACCCATATACTGGGCTTCAACATCACCTTACTGCAGGCTGTAGATCTGCCCTCCCCCCTGTGGCTCGGTCACTCTGGTGTTTCTTCATTAATTTGGCCTCCTCCTCCTCCTCCTCACCATTCACTCACAGCCTTTCACTTCCTCTCTCTCTGTTTTGTTTCAAGCACGATATTAGTATTTATTATAATTTCTTTATCGTTAAACTCATCAGGTCTGAAAAGTAGAGCCAATGATGGTGTGTCAAAACCCTGCGTTCTTTCTTGCGTCCAGCAGGGGGCGACTCCTCTGTGATTGTGCAGAAGAGGAGAGAACGAGCCTCCTGCTCACTAAAACTCTTTCCTGGTGAGTTTTTGGTCTCAGGCTGTATTTCGAGTCTGACTGAAAGAAACATAAAGTTCATTTTGTGAATTTCAGCCCATCAGAGACAGCAGGGAGGATTATTTGGGGGGATTTACTGTCTCTGCAAAGACACCCAGGAGCCTCCTCTAACACCTCGCTCATTTGTTCCCAACGTTCCACCACATCCGTCGACTGCCTCAGGCCTCCGTCACACTGAAGGCAGACAGCGGGCCTTTCTCCCCTCCTCTGAATCCAGCTGTGGAGACCTCAGGTCCTCTGCTGCGCTCTTCTTCTTCTTCCTGCTTTGTGTCTGTTGTAGTTTTCAACCCCCCCCTCAGTGAAAAGCAAAACCCAACTAGGACAAAGAGCAGGCTGCTGCAGCAAATTAAAACAAGAAGAAGAAAAAACCCCAGCGCTCATTGTCCTGGTTCCAGTCTGCACTGTTGGACAAGCCTCCCGAGAACCGCCGCTGTTGTTCTGCTAAAATAAGGCTGCCTTATTGCACAAAGCACCGCAGGGAGTCCAGCCAGCAGCTGCTGCTAAACACAGTCTGTGATATTCCTCCACAAACCTCCAAACTAATATTGTTGTGTAAGGCCTCAGTCATGCACAGCTAACCCTGCAATACACGTTTTTATTGATGTGAGGCAACAAGATGTGAAAAACATGCAGGCGTTTCTGAAAGCGCAAACTCGCAGGGCTGATTCAGTGTCGCTAATAAAACCTCCAGCGTGTGATTTATGACTTCTGAAAAGTTCTTCCCCAGGTCTCACCAGTCAGGGAAAAAATCATCCAAAACTTTCTTCCTTCCCCAAAGTCATTTTTCTCCTGACATCCCTGACTGTGCTCGGCTCGGGATGATGTCACAGAGAGGGGATGTCACTAACTGGGCCCCTTGGGCACAGAAGCTCCACCCACCTGCTGTTCATCTGACCTTCAATTAGAAAATTGGCTTTAAGGGGGCGGAGCTAAAACACTTGAGGGGTTGCACAGGATCAGATGAAGAAGGATTATTTTGAACTGTGAATCATGCAAAGCTGCTCATTGCCCAGCAGCGAGAAACGAGCCGACTCGATCACATCATGACGAGAAGCTGGAAAGAGTGAAGAACTTTAATGTTTCCTGAAGTTTATCCTGTCAGCGCCTTCCTCACTGACTCAAGTCTGCAGACCTCCTCAGCTCTCTGAGTAAAATCGTCCTCACGGGGACTTCAGTAAGCAGCAGGTTTAACTCTTTCATGGCAGCATTTTTAATTTCTCTTTGCTGATTGGGACCCAATTAATGTAAAAACAAAGAATGACGTGATTTTTTAAACCTGATTTTTGTGGCATTATATTGTCCTCATAAGTGGATTCAGGCCCTTGTAGAGCAAAATTTAGTATTTTGGTCAAAATAACCCAAAATGTGACGTCCACACATGTGGACGGCAGGTCCTGGGAGGTTAAGGAGCTCAGAAATGACGCTCTGCTGCCACCAAGTGTCCACAGTGGGCAGTTACACACAGAGTGCAGTCCTGCCATCTCCTGGCCATTCACGCAGCTCGTCACAGCGTTCCCACGCTGTCATGCTCAGTTTTCTCATCATCGCTCTGGTCCAATCATCTTCCTGCCTGCCTTCTGTGAGCCAATCAGCTTCGGTTTCCTGTGCTTTGGAGCCTGACAGTGATAAGATTCAAACACTCAAACAAATGAAATTTAAGGTCGAACAGGAAGCAGTCGTGTGAGCTCAGAATGACACGAAGGCCAAACAAACCTACTGGGCTGACTTCAACATTTTCTACCTGCGTTTATTCGTGTGAACATAAAAAAGAAAGACCTGTTTTTATCTGCAGTGACTCATTTCTGTTATCATTCTCATTTCAACAGGTTCGATGATCTTTCTCCAGCTCAGTGGAACCATCAACAAGTTACAGAACTACAGAAAGAACCAAAAACGTTCTTCAGCTGACATCATCACTTCCTGTTCACTCGTTTATGTGAGTGTGAGTCCAGCACAGTGTGGAGCGTTTGGAATATAAAGAAGAGTTGAGGTTGAAGGTAAAATCACACAAACACAGGAGACAATGTATCACTTTATTTTTTTATTAGTGAATGAGTCTTTAATAGATACTTGAAGGAGCCGCAGGTCTTCTTACAGCGAAGACTTAAACTCTGTGACAGCATCGCATCAGGACAGGAAATGACCTCAGCGTGACCCCAGAGATGAGACGTCCTGTCTTTGTCAGCACTTTCTCTTCATGCTGTTACAGCCACCATCATGAACTCCGATACACACACACACACACACACACACACCAACTTCTTTATGTCAGGGAGAGCAGGCTGATATCGTAGCATCCATCCACCTGCAGCACAGAGAACCACCATCATCTCTGAGAACATGGAAAAACGAGCTAACGACCACATTTTATTATATCACCTCCATCATGAACACACTCGTTACAGGACAGATGAGGCTGACTGTGTGTTTCACTCACATCGAACCGTCCGATGGATGCTGTCGTCTGATTGGTCTGCATCACCTCAGTCAGAGCCCACATCTGCTGGATGCTGGAGGATACGGTCAGCGGGTCGGGGAGGCCCTGAGTGACACACGGGGACACAATCATACCCCCGCTTCTTCCTGGATCATATTTAACATTTGAAGCTGAAGCTCTGAAGTAAAGTAACAGAAATCAGAACTCACGTACTCAGTCACATGACCAAACAAAAAAAACCGACCACACGAGCAGCTGAGACGCCAAAAACCCGTGTCATCAGGAAGTAAACGCACTCGCCGGCGTCTCTTTAACCTGCTGGTAATCAGACCGCCTCACAGCGCCACGAGCTGGCGTGCGTCACTGATAAACACCAAAATGCTCTGCTACGGACGTCGGTGATGCGAATTTAATTCAGTTTGATTTATATAACACCAAATCACAGCTACAGTCGCCTCAAGGTGCTTTATATTGTACATTAAATCCTACAATAACACATACAGAGAAAACCCAACAATCATATGACCCCCTATGAGCAGCACTTTGGTGACAGTGGGAAGGAAAAACTCCCTTTTAACAGGAAGAAGCCTCCAGCAGAACCAGGCTCAGGGAGGGGCGGGGCCATCTGTTAGACGTGTTTCTGCTGGTTAAGCTGAAGCTGCTGCCGCCGTCTCATCAAAGCTGCCAGACTGCGCTGACAGAGGCAGTGATATAACTTTCCACAGTCACACGAGCGTCTGGGCTTGGAGATGAGGCGAGGAGTGAGGCGGAGCTGGTTCAGCAATCAGATCAGTATCCTCTGCCTCTGTGCGAAGGAGGCCGAGGACACAGTTTCATATCTCGTCTGGCCCGGGAGCTGGAAACCATCGCCATGGGAAAGGACGGCTTATCTGCAGCCACCGTGACCTGTGACCTGACTCTGGATCAGCAGGAGCAGCTGCCGGTTTACTGCTGCCGCCATCGGTTAGCTTGTTTCTTTAACAGCAATAAAAAAGCTCTGCTCCTGACTCGTTGTTAGCAAACGTGTCACAGAGGTAACCTGTAAGTGAGCTTAGAGGCTCTGAGAGCCTGAGGTCAGCCTGAACACGTTAATCCTTCCTCCTGTTCCAGCTAAGCTAACGTCTCTGTTCAGCTGGATTTACTTTTTCCCTTTTTAATAGTTTGTTTTTCCGGAGTCACAGACAAAAAACAAGAAAAGCTTCTTTCATTAGGAAGCTTATGAAAACCAAATCAGACACAGACTTGAACAGAGCCCAGAGGAAGACGAGCTGCAGAATAATAAAAGCCTCATTTGCCTTTCAGCCCTGAAGAAGCTGAAATTGAATTTAAGGATGAAAACTGAGAAATGAGCTAATAAAATATGCAGCAAACTCCCATCGGGCTCTCGAAGCTCGGCGCCCTCATGTAGACAGAAACACGGTGCGTACCTCCAGATCAGGGTGCTGGTCAGTGAGGGTCAGGTCAGACAGCCAATCAGAAACCTCCTTCTCTGGGTCCTGGAACAGGAAGAGCGTTTGTTAAACTCTGCAGTCGAGTTTCTGTTACTTTGTTGTTCAGCTGGATCTTCAGTTCTCACTCTGGCTCCACCTGCTGGTGGTTCCACAACAAACCCCAACATCGCCACCCCCACCGACCCAACCTTTTTCACCAGAATCACCACGGCAACTAACACATCACCTATATTCAGGGTGTCGTTAAAATCAGCTGGATGCAATTATTTACAGCATGTTGGGTGGTTTTACCTGTGGAAGGTAAACCAGGTAAACCCGACTTTGAATACCTGATCAGCCAATCACATTCATTCACTGTGCTCGGATCTGCACCTGTCCTTCCTGTGGGACCAGAAGCTTTAATGTTTAAAGGGACCCAGTTTAAAGTGTTTAAACCAAACAGCAGCACTGAGCGCGCTCAGAGACGAAATCATTCATTTACCGCTCTGTGCCAGAAATCACCAGAATAATCTGCATCTTCATCATTTGTCTGATGTACTGTTAGATTTTTATGTTCTTGATAGATTTTATCGCCATTTATCATCTAATAACGTCTCTGACTGGAGCAGCTGACACTCGCAGGGATCGTTTAATAGCATGTGAGCACCCTCAGAGCCTGAGGAGGAGGCTAA